CCTGTGGCTAAAACCACTGCCATAGTACCTGCTATGTGAAGGAGTCCCAAGAACCAGGTGATGACCAACAAGGGAGCCAGTCACAAAGTCCTCTACCACCTCCTGTTGGTCAGATTCTTAGGGAAGAGTAATGGATATGTTTTGTTTTTGTTTTTCTGCACCTGCTCTCCTCGCTGGATATTCACTTCTTTCAACCTCAGGACTGAGACTGTTATAGACAGGCTTCTTCATTTCTGAAGAAATGTTCTTTTGTTTTAGCATCCCATGCTGAATTATTTCAGTGAAACAATTTCTATCTTTAAAAAACCTAAGTGTATATGCTCACAATTGTCTATTGCTAGTCAAATCTGAGGCTAATATTTCCCTGCTCCTGCCATTTCTCCCGTGTTTGGGAGAGTCACCAAAAGGAGTATGATGACAGTTCTGGTCAAGTGATGACCAGCAAACCACAAGTGTGTCTTGGAGACTTACTTCATAGTTGATCTTACCACCAACTGGCTTTGGTACTCAAGGCAGTAGCCCATTCCACAAAGTTGGCCATTAATTTTGTCACAAAAGAATGGTTTCCGGGCTGGGGGAGATGGCTCAGTAGGATAAACGCTTGACTGGCAAATACAAGGATCTGAGTTCAATCACCAGTTCCGCCAAAAAAAAAAAAAAAAAAAGAATGGTTTCACGCCAGCAGCATTAAACTGTTGAGTTTGAAAGGGGTTGGGATTTGACCACAGTTTTTGTTAAATTCTTACAATCTGAGAATATGAGAAAGGAGATTAAAAATGTATTATTCTTGTAGTCTTCTGAATAGACATGGACTATAAGGTTTCCCAGCTTTTTTTCCTTTTGACCTTATAAAAGATTAAAATTAAATGTAAACAGATCTTTCCTGTTCCTAACAGTGTCACAGCCTTGTTCTAAAGATGAACAAGGTCTGGCAGAGCATTTTTTTTTTTTCCCAATACTGGGCACAGAACTCAGGACCTTGTGCTTGCCAGGCAGATGCTTATGCTGCTGAGCTATACCCCGGCCCTGGAAGAGCATCTTGACATGAGCAGACTCCCTGTGTGCTTGACCTGCTCTCAGAGACGCTTTCTCTCTGAAGTACTTATCTAGATGGTACTGGTACTTGGTACTTGGACTGCTCTTAGAGGCCACAAACTCTTTACCCTTGGTCACATACATAGTTGGGGCACTCACTGCTACTTTTTTCTCAAATGCTATCTAAGGGACCTGCTAGGAGATATTAAAGTCTCACCTATGGAAGGGATGCTCTGCTCAGATCCTTCCCAGTCAAAACCTCAAAGGCTGTATACAGGACTTCTCAGTGCTAGATTTCAGAATCAATGCTCTTCCAGTTTGGTGATATAGTTTTGTACTATCTTTTGTGCAACCAAGTATATGTTAATCAACACTTTCTTAAACTTTGTTTTATTGTCTTTACCTTGGTGCTAGAGGCTTTTGTTGTTTACAAATCCAGATTTCTAAATTAAGCATCTGTGACTATAATCTCTTTAAAGCTACATCTTATGGGAGTTAAAAATTTTATTAAAGAAATAAACATGAGACTTGAGTTAGATCCTCTCAAAGATTTGGGTAACCTCTACTGTTCTAAACAAACTACCACAACTTTGATGGTGTGAGTGTAAAAGATATTGTTTCCCAGATAGGTAGGAAAGTCTTACCAGGGCTTCATCCTGAGCTACTGTTTTTCAAGTGGCTAAGGGAGCCCTTTGGGTTCCACTATTCTCCCTAACGAGTTAGTAGGCCTTAGTGTGGGTAGTCCCAAGGCTGAAAGGGCACCTGGGGGCATTTACTTATCTAGGTGGTACTGGTGCTAATCACTAGAGTTTTGAACACAGACACATATCTAGTAAGTACTTTGGTTATCATAAGGGATGCCTTATGATGTATTCAGTGGGTCTTATCCTTCTGCAGGAGACACTCTCTGAAGACCTAATTTTCTCTCTCCTTAGGTCTTGAGACACATCATGGGAAATACCCTGAAAAGCACCTCGCAGATCCCAGCGATCTCTCCATTAGGCTGTATTCTTCAACACTGGGAAAGATTTGATCCTGCCAATCTAAAGAAGAAACAACTCATCTACTATTGTAACACAGTTTGGGTCCAGTACCAACTAGACCATGGCAAGAGATGGGTACTGAATGGCAGTCTAGATTATAGTACCATTTTACAGTTAGATCGATTCTGCAAAAAGCATGGAAAGTGGACTGAAGTCCCTTATGTTCAAGCTTTTGCATCTCTGTATGTTTTCTGTCTTTCCACCTCCCCCAGTTCTTCCAACCTTGCCACCTTCCATCGTAACTCAATGGAACTACTTTCCCCTGAGTTGCCCCTTCACTTCCCTGTTGAGGAGGGACCCCTGACGGGGACAGTTCATCCTCTCTCAGGATGCCCTTGGTTCCACGGGATGCTCTCACGACTCAAAGCCACTCAGTTAGTATTAGAAGGAGGCACCAGTTCCCATGGTGTCTTCCTGGTTCGTCACAGTGAGACAAGGGAGGGAGAATATGTCCTTACTTTTAACTTCAACGGCAGGGCCAAGCACCTGTACTTGTCACTGAATGAAAATGGTGAGTGCTGGGTCCAACACCTGTGGTTCTTGTCCATTTTTGACATGCTCAATCATTTCCGGGTACATCCTATCCCTCTAGAGCCCACAGGCTCCAGTGGTGTTGTCCTTGTCCGGTATGTACCAACCAAACAACAGGGCTTGGAAGAGGCTAGGAGCCATGCAGAGATGGGTGAGGGAGATGGCCACTCCAATTTGTCTTCCACCCTCATGCCTATACAGCAATCCAAAAAAGGAGGGGTTAATAACTCAACTTCTAGAGGTGATTTATATTCCCGAGCAGGTCACTGTCATATATTATAAGAAAAGGCTAACAGGGAGGCAAGTAGGGCAGTCTTGTTGCCCCTCAAGACCCTAGCCTTACCCCAGTTCCTAAAGAACAATCCTGGTTCTTTTAAGGAACACAGTGACAAGCTATACAAACTGTACATGGGAAAATGATCATGCACATTTTCATAGGATTAAGACTCTACTCCTGTGAACCTCTGGAAGATCTAAAGCTCCTCTTCAAAAATCAAGTCTGCAGTTTGGCTTCAAGTACAGATAAGTTGTCACCATAAATACCCACTGGTAGCCCATACAACATCCATTTTTACCTTCACAGGCTCCTGACACGTTCATCAAGCCCTTTTCTGTTACTTTATATAAACACTATTTTCTTATTGCCCTCTGACAGGTTTTCTTCAGCCTAGCTGGTGACTACATTATCCTAAAGCAGAGAATACATAATCCCCAGCAGGTAGGGCCCACAGTCCCTTTCAGCAGGAAGTAGCTACCTGAAGACTGAGACCTCCACTCCCTCAACAACCCACAAAGAATTATGGGGATTTATGTCTCTCAAAGGGGAAATGAAGCAAGTGATCAGGGCATGGCAGGGAGCTGGAAGATGGGATATAACCTGTCAATTACAAAGATGTGGAACAGAAGCTAAACAACAGGATGTGACCTGTCAATTGTGGCCAGGATATGTGGTCAGAGAAACTTCTAATGGATAAGATCTCAATGAATATAAAAGATGACAGCCATTGACTTCCCCACCACTGTGATCTTGCTGTTTTATGGTCCTCCTGTTTCTGTAGTGGCCCATTTTGTTTGTGGTATGTACCTCTTGCTCTTCTCTTTTCTTCACTCTTTTTCTTTTCTTCTCTTAAATAAAAATTGCATTTACCTGTTCACTAGTTGTCCTGGTCAATTGCTTGGGTAGGGCAGGAAGTATGTAGAATCATCAGATGCCATTCCATCAGGCAGGAGTACCAATTCTTTCCTTCCTCCAATGTCTTTTTTTGCATCAGAAATCAAACTTAGGTCCTTGTGCTTGCTAGGCAGGTGCTATGTTCCTGAGCTATATCCCTGGCCTGTTTGTTTTTGAGATAGTCTTGCTATGTAGTTCAGGCTGGCCTTGAGTTCACTATGTAGCTCAAGCTGGCCTCAAACTCACAGCAATCCTTCTGACTCAGCTTCTGGAATGCTGGAATTACAGGCATGCACCACCATGCCTGGCATGTGTATTTTCTGAGACAGGATCACATTATGTAGCTCGAGACTGGCCTTGCACTATGTAGCCTAGGATGACCTTGAACTTACTGAACTGTGTGGCAACTGGACATGAGTGGAAGGTGGCAGTACTACTGCTGCTTCCAGGTCTGTCATAATACTCATGTAACTAGGCTGTCAGCCATACTACAGCTTTGTTCTCTATGACAGACACTGTGGTGTGCTCTTGGTTCCCAAGGTGGATTTCTGTGCTCTACATCACCAAGCCATCCCAAGATTCCAGGTCAGTCTTTTCTCCTCCTTTCTGGGCCCTACTCTGATGCTTCACTCCAGATATCATGTTTAAAAAAAAAAAAAAAAAAAAATATATATATATATATATATATATATATATATATATATATATATTTAATACTTTATTTATTTATTTTGTGTGTGGCCAGTTCAGCCCACCAGGGGGTGGGGCTGGCTGGCATGAGGTGCTGGGGGATTGAACCGTGGTCCCTGTGGTTTGCTTAGCTTAGCTTGTTCTAAGTAGGTGCTTTAGACCACTGAGCCATCTCACCAGCCCTAGATATCATATTTGTTCCTGAGGTCTGCCACTCTCACCAGGCACACAGCTCCCTGGATACCAGTACAAACCTAGCTAGGGTTTTTTGGTTTTTTTTTTTTTTTTTTTTGCTCCGAATTCCCTCAGGGGTGGTTTGGCTGGCTGGAGTGTTGTGGGGATAGAACTACAGCAACCTGAGGCTGACAGTTTTGTGGAAGCAGCCACTTAAACAACTGAGCTAAGGCCAGGCCCCACAAACCTAGCTAGGAATGGCTCTTTTAAGACACACCAATTCTCTAGGCACTCCCATGAACCTAGCAGGAGTCAGTACACATACACCCCAGGAGCCAACAAACACATTCTGAAGGAATGAATGTATCCATTTATTCAATTTCCAATGTAATTGGAAGGAGTGTTACAAAGGCCCTTCAAGGGAAGGAGGGCTAGGGTTGGGGTGTGCATAGCTCCAGAAGTAAATTTAAAGTCTAGGTTTTATTTTAGGGTAGGGAAAGGGAAGACATAATTGTCCTTATCTGTGAAAATCTTGAAGGTAAAACAGCAGATGGTGAATCAGGCTGGAGGCAATGCAGAAGTGACAGATAGGGGATGGTAGTAAGAATATAATATTGAATGATACAGGTTTGGAGCCAGGGACGATGATGGCACTTTATCAGTGTTGAAGGAAGGAAAAAGCTCACTACCTCTGGTATGGAGGGAGAGGAGGAAAAAACTAGTATTTGAGGGAACAGAGGTTCATTGTGGCTTCATTCTTGTGGTACATGACCAAGGCAGATAAATATTACTCCCTGTCCATCCCTGGCTCCTTGCTTAGGGAGGGGGCATATACCATCTCAAAGTTTTAAAAATTTCAAGCTATGATGGAAGTGGGGTGGGGAGGTAGAACAGAAAAAGGAACAAATTCCATGGAGTGGAAGGTTGAACGCCTCCCTTCAAGTAGTTTAGGCCTGGCAACTTGTGCTGGGCTTGTGGAAGGTTCCCTCTGACAGAGAATAAATACCTGGCAAGCAAATCCCAGGATGAGGAGAGCTTGTGGGTCTGTAGGTCTGAACCCCAGTGTCAACTCACCACCCACACTCTAGCCACACACAGGAGCAGGGTGTGCTGCAGATTCCCCAGATGTGTCAGTTCTTCTACAGAGCACAAACTGAGCCAGGCAAGGAAGGTGTGGTGTATTCTCCTAGGCAAAGGGCAGTGGGGCTGTGCAGGGTACCTCATTCTTCCCAGGGACTCATATCAGTGTCAATGGCTACACAGTTGTAGGCGGCATAGCGGAGTTTCTCCTCACACACCTTGGCGCTGCAGGGGAAAGGCTAGGTCAGGCCTTCCTAGCACCCTGAGGGGTGAGGGGGTTCCAGTATTGCACTTCCTTGTTGGAAGTCCTCTCACACCAAGGATGCCAACCCTAGATTGGGCTGGGAAAACCCACCTGACATAGTGTGGCAAGAAGAGAGTGCTGGAGCAGGTAGAAGACTCAGGCAATGCGTCTGTGGTCTCATACCTGGAGGAATTGAGGGCCACAGATGAGGAAGAACTCTAGAGGCATGTGTATATGGGGAGCCACAGGTCCTCCCCTTTGTACACACACTCACCCCAGCTTGTCTGGGTAGATGTAGATCCGCGCTGGTAGGCGGCTACGGCCTGTGACAAAACGCAGGAAGCGGCTGCGGTCCTCTGAGCGGAGGAGGAAATGAGCACTTACTGATAGTGTGGAAAGCTTTACCACTCCCACCCAGCCTCTGCATCCCACAGGAGAAGCTTGAAGCAAGTACTAGAGCATTACTCTGCTTCCTTTTACTGACCGTTGGTGAAACTGTTCAGTGCCTCCCAGAAATACTGCACCCTTGTGTCAGAGGGCTCGAAGTCCTCAAACCGAGCTGAAGGAGTCAAGGCCAGAATTCAGGTTTTGGTCTTACTAGGCCCAGTCCTGAAGCCCTGAACTTCCTCACCCCACAGCCCGGAACTCACTGAGCTTGCGCAGGGCATCCACAGTGACCTCTGGGTCCCCACACACCTTCTTTTCCAACTCTTGCCAGGTTAGCAAGTCCAGCACAGCTTGTGGTACAACCTTCAGCAGACCTGCCTGCATGGCTGCCACCTGCAGAGGAGACAAAAGGCCCAGCTAAGAGAGGACACCAGGATCAGCTTCCACTGGGGCATCTCTGTACCACTTATTGGCAGGAATGTGGGGCAGTGTTACGGTGGGGGCCAAAGTTCTTCTGTAGATGGTTCTGGAGGCTGAACTCTGGCTGCTACCTGCTCCTTGCTTTCCTCTAGCCGTGCCTTCTGTACCAGCTGGATGAAACGAGAACGGTCCTCATATCCCACTACAATGCTTGTGCCTCCAGGAATCAGCTCCACCACCTGCTGGTCACTGAGCACAGTGGTGAATGTCAGCTCCTTCCCAAACTTGAACTCAAATGTCTCCTTGTCCATTCCTTCCATCACCTCCAGGAGCTTCACCTTGGGGTCAGAGGCAGGGAGCTTAGCTCATCATTGGGGAGACAAGATGCACACAAGGAAGCAGGGAGGCATTCAGGCAAGGTGGGACTCAGGCAGGCAGTGGGATGTGAGGGGCAACTGCTGGGCTATAGAAGCACCACAGCTAACCAGCCTTGGACACCAGGAAGGCATTCTGTAGGAAATGGCACCTGAATTGAGATCCAAATGATAGCTGAGACTTGGCTGGGCCACAAGGGAAGTCAGGTAATGGAGGAAGTTAAGGAGCAAAAGGTTTGTTGGGTCCAGTGGTGCACCCTGTATATGCCAGCACTTCAGAGGCTGGGGTAGGAGGATCACTGTCAGTTCTGGGCTAGCCTAAACTGCATAGTGAAACCCTGTCTCAAAAAAAAAAAAAAAAGCTCAAAAGGCATAAGGACTCTTTGGATGGAACCTGAATAGATACTAGCTAGAAACAGACCTGCAATAAATACTGAAGTCTTTACAGGGCCCACATTATCGTAAGTCCAGGGGAAAGCCATTGAAGAGTTTAAATGAAGAGAGCAAAATATAGAAAAGTGATCTGAACCAGGGGAACTGTGATATGACAAAAGTAGATAAATGCTTGGCAGAATGTGGGGAGGGAGGAGGTATACAGGGGGACCTTGCTGTGATGAGGTACAGCTCTCAGCAGGGAGGCCTGGAGTGGATCAGGAGAGGAAAGTGTGCTGGGACCAAGCTCAGGAGAAGGGGGGCGAGGGGCTGGCAGTTCAGGGGTTTGTAGAACAGAGTTAGGGGTTGAAATCATGAACACAGATGGGATCAGAGGGAGCGTACATATAATAAAGGAAATGCAAAGAAGCCCTGGGGAGCACCGGCTTTGGCAGCTGGCAGAGGAAACCCTGACTCCAGCCTGACTCACCAGCACAGAGTCCACAGCAGGGAAGTCCTTGCTCCAGCTCACCTCCTCCCCAGAGAGCTGTTTCCACACGAAGCCAGGGAGTGCGAGGACCTGCGTGACACACATGCAACACTGTCCTCTCAGCCCAAGCAGCCAGGGGCCAGGGCTGACCTGACAGGCGCAGATCACACTACTCACCAGGAACTCCTTACCCCGAAGGGCAGCTCCCATCAGCTGTCCGATCCACTCATACTTGGCAAAGTCTCGGCAGGAAGGGTTGGGCACATACATGTCTCGGGCCTCACCAGTGCCATTGCCCTGACCCAAACATAATGCTGTCAGTCTGGCACAGGATGGACTCTGCTTTTGTAATCTAAGCACCCAAAGACTTCCCCCAAGATCTCCCATGATGGCCCTGTAGGACTCCAATGACAGCACCAAGGCTCCTCCTCTGTCTGCCTGATGCTACCCTAGGCAACTCAGTCCTCCCCTGTCCCCTTCCGAGGTCAGTGTGGCACCTGGGAGGTTCAGAAATAGGCTAGCAGAAACTGTGTCAGAAGTGGCAGTGGGAGATGGGCGATTACCTGGTTGGCTGTGCGTACAAAGAACGGCAGAGGCACAGGAGTGTCGGCTGAGCTGGGGCACAGCTCTTCTGACATATCTGCTAGGCTGTCTCGGAAACCACCCCCTGAAACAACAGACGTCCCTAGCTAGGCACAAGACAGCTCAGCCTCTACAGGGGGGCAATAAGCAGACTCTCTGTTCTTCACTGGGTGGTAAGCCCAGAAGAGTCTCAGATATTAACAGAGGAACACACAGGATCCTCCTGCTGGGAGGAACTCTGCTGGGGCCTCACCTTGGTCAATGATGCCTTCCGCAATGAATTTACACTCCCACCACTGGTCATAGCGCATGGGCCACCTGTAAGTAGGGGCAGACCTCTGTCATCAGGTGGGGTCAGGATTCAGGCTGATTTATCAGCCTGGGGACCAGAAGGGTTACAAAGTGGTAATGATGAAGGATGATGGGAGCAGTGTGTGGGTGAGGTGCGTACACTTCTGCAGTGAGTAAGAGCCTTCCCTGTGCCGTACCTATAGTCCAGGGGCTTTTCATACTTGTCAGAGGGCTTGAGGCCTTCATAAACCTGGCGACCAGGGGAAGGAAACAAGAATAGGTGTGTTAAACCTGGGCCTACTCTTGCCCAAGGACCTCCCTCAGTCCAAGCCCTGGTGCTCCAGACCTGTGTGAAAACAGCATTCTTGCAGGCAGGGTCCCGAGAGGGGCAGGCACGGTGTTCCATGGCAAGACGTCGGTTGATGTACAGGCGTGGCATGAAGCTGGGCTTACTGCTTTCTGAGTCTCGCAGGCACTGGGCCACCAGACTGGGCCGCTGGCGTGACAGCAGCAGGAACTGTTTCACTTGCTGGTGAGGAGACGTGGCCAGAGCGGGCTCAGCAGGCAGTTAGCTTCTGCCCAGCCTGGAGCTTCATTCTATGCTCAGCAATAATTTCACACCATTCAGTCCAAACCTAGCCCTTTCTATCCTTGCCCTTTCAGTTCCTTCCTCAGTACAGCCACCAGGGGGAGCATTCAGGGTTTTTGTTCTTGAGTTTCCTTGTGCAGTTCAGGATAACAGAGAACTCCCAGCCCAGGCTGGCCTTGAAGTTAAAGTGAATCCTCTTGTCTCAGCCTCCCAAGTGCTAAGATTACAGAGGTGTGCCACCATGCCATGCTTGAGGAGGGGGGATCTTTCTAAAACTAAAAAATTCTGACATTATCATTATTTTATAAACTTTCCAATGGCTTCACTGACTAGGACAAAGTCCCTGGTTCACAGACTGGCCTGCAGGGCTTTTGGCTGTTAAGTCCTGCTTCCTGCCTCATCCTTGTGTCATACACCTACCTCTCTGCTGTTCTCAATCACATACTGCTGCTGGTAGTACCCAGTGTGCATCTTTTCTGAGTTCCTTCCCATGCGGTCATCTCTCCTGCCTCAATTAACCCTTGTGTATTCCACACACTTATCTGAAGTGTTCCATGGCACCCTAAACATTGTATTTTCACCATTTTTGTCTGGCTTGCTTGGTTCCCAGAACCTAAAAAGATCCAGCCCTAGGGCAGGTTCTGAGAACTCTTTGCTGAAGAATGACAACTCCAAGAACAGGAAGTGGAAGTCTACTGATTAGCACTGGGTTTGCCAGGCTTACCTTAATCTCACTGAAGGTGCCCAGTGTGTGGTCCCATGCAGGTACCAGGTGACGCAGGACGCTGTCTAGGATTTTGATGAATCTAGGGTAGTAAAGATAACTTCAGCTAAAAAGATTTGGCATGGATACAAGATTCTCAACTCACAGGGCTAGGCGGCAGGGCCCAGAGGCTATTCTTTGAAGCAGAACAGCTTATACTAGAAGATCCTCGGGTCTCATCGATGTAGACACACAAGGCTCAGGGAAGGGAGATGCCTGCAGGCCAGGATCACAGCCACCTCTGCAGGAGGACAGCTCTGCGGTACAGTACTTCAGGATCAGTGCCTTCCAGCCGTGGGTATCGCACCAGACTGGCCGGCTGGAAGAGATCTGCATTCAGCCCTAGTTCCCGCTGTCTAGACGACTTGATCTTGACCCCTCGAAGACGGACATCAATCCCATCATCTGGGGGAAAGAGTAAGAGTGAGATCATTTATTACACCAGTACCTTCTTGGCCCTCAGACCTTAGAATGGATCCTTAATGCTCAGCCTTTTGCCATCTGAAGACCCTAGAAACTTGATACCTTTGGATCCCATTCTACCCCAATACAGATTAATTTATATACTATTTATTGGTTTCTCTGTCCACCTCTGTAATGCTGAGAGAGTCCCAACTCAGTCTCTCCCATTCCAGGTGAGCCCAACCACCTGGAAGGTTTTAAGGCAGGCTTATATGTGGCACCTCTCATCTAGCTCAGACCTCACAGCTTCAAATCCTGGAGTTATTTTGCCCACCAATTTCAGTCTAAGTCTATAATTCTCTTCTCTCCACACTCACTGTAAGCTTAAACCCAGCTACACCTTCAGGCTCTCCTCCTCTTCTTATGGCCTCACCTCGGCACTCCACAATGCGGATCTCAATGATTGGGAGGTGGACCGTCATGTCCTCCAAGACACAGACATCCCCGATCAGGGTCCTAAGGAGATGGTGTGAGGCACTTCAGATATTTCTGCCTCAGCCCCTCAGGGATTGTTGGGATCCCTCTCAAATTTAGGCATCCAAACTGAGCCAGTTTGCACTGCTAAGATCATGCCCCACCTCCTACCCCAGGCCAACTTGCTCACTCGTCAATGCTCACGTCACTCAGCTTCTTCAGGTTGTCACCTTCACCTCCATAGACCACTACCCTCTTAGGCATAAAGTTGTCATCTGTGGTATCCACTGTAAGTAGCAGCTTCCTGAGGGGTCAGAGTGTGCACCTGGGTCTCTATGCACTCACAGGCACATGGCCCACCCACCCTGTCCTGCCCAGAGTCAACTCACTTGACAATGGTGCCTTTCTTCATAGTAAGCCGTACCCAGTGCTGGCACTGGGACCCATCACTCTCCCAGTAGGTGTCTGCATTGCTATCAGTCAGGCAAGATACATTAAATTCCTCCTAGAAAGGTCAAGAAAGTTGGAGTCAGCACTTTCCTTCCCTTTTGTACTGGGCACGTGCTGTGGGCCAGGGAATGCAAGACAGCATAGTGGAATTGGGCTAAAACAGCAACTGACATGGGGAAGGGTAGGGGTAAGGAAGGAGATGCCCAAGAGTTCCTATGGGACTTCCAAGATGGTGTGGGGAGTGAATTGAGAGTGGCATATCGACTCTGGTTTGGACCTGGGAATTCTGAGCTAGCCTGGAGGAACGTGAAGACATGTGGCCTCCCTCAGGGGAATCCCAGTACCCACCGTATAGGAGGAAACATCTATGCTCTCCACATACTGTTTCACACTACCCAGGTTCTCATCTTCCTTGCCCAGGTGGTCATATAAGAAGTGGATCAGGTCTTCATCACACTCGTAGGTCCATGTTGGGGGCACATAGCTAAGCAACCCCAAACCCTAATTAGGTTAGGGCAAGACCTGGAACTCCCTTGTCCCCCTCCCATCTGAGCTCACTCACAGTAGCCTCTGCACAGCGTCTGTGTATGCCTCAGCGGGTTGAGGCCTAGATCCCAGGCGGTGTGAATATGTCAGATCCACTACCTGTTCCCACCTGTGGGGAGAGTGGGAGGTGGGTAGGGGTGGCATTAGCGGGTAGCACAGCACACCTCCAGGCCCCGGAGCATGATGCAGAGCTCTAGGGTCACACCTCCGGAAGCCTTACCCCTGTGGCTTCCTTCAGTTCCAGGTCCTTTCTACTCCTAATCCTGACTCCACTCCAGTACCCTTATCTCCACCCCGTGCTGGCTGGTTCTCAACCCCTCGGGACTGTCTGACAGCAAGCCCTGTCCCTTTGAGGGCAGGACCTGAGCACAGGTCGGTAGTCCACACCAAAGAGCTGCTGCTGTCGCTGCAAGTGGTCTGGAGTGTCGATGGGCACCAGGCGGGCCCCGCCCTCCGCCGGCCGGCACACCAGCAACCAACCCTCGTCCAGGCCGCAATCACCCAGGTGTTCTGCCAGCTGCTCCTGCAAGGACGCACCAGGCGGGGACAGCCATCAGGGAACTGCTCAGCTGCTCTCCTACCCAGTGCGGGGCAAAGGGCACCAAATGGAACTTCTGCTCAATATGGGGCAGGGCCAGGGAACCGCCGGGGACGTTCCTGGATCCCACGGGGAGTCCCGGGGGGCCAGAGTGTACCTTGGTCAGCTTCACCCAGAGCCCGTGGCCGTTGCACAGCTCTTCGCCCGTGGTGCGCACGGAAGCGCCGCGCCGCAGCTCAATGCTATCGCGGGCGGCGCGGAGGGGTCCGGAGCCGGTACCCGGGGCCGGGCCCGCGGCACCCACGCGCAGCCCCAGGCCCTCTGCCTCCCACACTGGCAGCAGTACCCGGGACGGTCCAGCCGGGTCCTTGTAAAGCTTGTACAGCACTTCTCGTGGCACGAAAGCCAGCGCGGCGGGCAGCGGCCGTCCTGCGCGGAGGCTTCGAGCGGCCTCCGCCAAGAAGCGCACGCGGCCCAGCAGCCGCCGCGGGGACTCCAGCGCCGCGCCGGGGCCAGGGCCCGCCATGGCCAAGGGGCTGTGCGGACCCGATGCAGGGCCGCCGGGGACAGCGGGTGCACCCCGCCCAGCCCCGCCCTCGGTCAACCCAGCGGCAGCTTCCGGAAACAGGTCTTCCACTGCTGCCGTATTGTGCGGTGTACTCCAAACGCCAATAGTGTCTTCACCCGCCCTTCGCAGCGGAGCAAATCTGAGACTAGTGGCTTCTAACAGATCGATCCTTTTTCCTTCACGAGTGGTTGTGCTCAGCACTCGCCTCCGCACTTCCTGCGGTGCCTGGCTTTTAGTCGGTGATGTAGATGTACTATATAATAATCCAGTCCCCGGTTAAAAAAAACAAAAACCAAAAAACCAAACCTGGTAAATCGTACTATGTGCCTGGCTTGATAAAATTGTTAGAATCGTGGCGAGTAGATGTGAGAGTGGGACTTGGGGCAATCTTTGGAGTTTCTAGATCCTTAGATGAAAAAAAATTCCTCACCGAGTATTTTACCTTTTGAGCATTTTTTTTCATTTGCGCCGCTAGTGGGCACTTTAAGGTGAAAAGTGGTTTGGGTCCTACAGGCAGCAGTCCGGGCAGCCCCACAGCTGATTTACGCGCCGGGTCACGTGGCTTGAGCCTAGCGCCACCAAAGGTTGAAGGAGGCGGAGTGTATACTGGGGCGGTGCAGACTCAGGATTACATTGGAGATTGCTTTTGCAGGGACTGTCTGCTATGGAGGCGAATGGGAAGGGGTGAGTACTCTGCTGCTCGCGGTGTGCGTAGCGGGGCTTCTGAGCCTTCCAGCTCAGGAATCTGTCCCTATAAACCCAATTCCTGCAAGTTTTCCTGGTGTGAACTCCTGTTCCTGGTAGCCCGAGTCTTCCAACCATGGATTCCTAAGACCTTCATTCCAGGAACTGCCTTGTTGGACTGCATCTCTGAGGCATTCTTTCAAAGGATACCCCAGAAGTTCCAACTACGTGTTTGTATTCTGAGACCATCAACTCTGATCCCTCTTTGTTTCCCATCCTGTGGATCTCAGAAACCAGTTTCAGAACCAGCTCTTTGGCGGCCCGGTTCCTGATACTCGTTAGTCCTGTGACACTTCCCACAAACTTTCTTACTGGGCTTCTATGCCCTCCCTCCAGAGTTCCTAGGCTTAGGAGAGTTGGGAGTATGCATAGGGAAGAGGCCCCTGCGCGGCCCTCCTGTAGTCGTGTGCTCCACCTGATAGGCAGACAGAAAGTGAAAAGGGTGGGGTGCCAGGACTTGTGAGCTGTCCTGGAGCTGGTAGATAACGGGCCAGACTGAATCGCCTAGAACCTGCGCCTTCTGCAGCCTCCAACCTAGCATATTGACACCTATTTTTCACATTGATTTTATCGCCAGATCCCAGAATTTTCCGGAGCTGAAGAATGACACGTTCCTTCGAGCAGCCTGGGGAGAGGAAACAGACTACACTCCAGTTTGGTGTATGCGGCAGGCTGGTCGCTATTTACCAGGTTAGGGGCAAGACTTGGAAGCATAGTTGAAATTTTAAGCTCTGGAGGATGAAAAGTTGTGTAAGGTCAGGCCAGGGCTCTGACAAGCCTCAGGATTGACCCTTGCCTTCCCTCTCTGCCTGCAGAGTTTAGGGAAACCAGGGCTGCCCAGGACTTTTTCAGCACCTGTCGCTCTCCAGAGGCCTGCTGTGAACTGACTCTGCAGGTGAGGGGTCTAAGAAAGATAGATAAATTTACTCCCTCAGTTTGCCACCTAGCAACTTATTTCCTGTTCTCTACAGCCACTTCGTCGTTTCCCCCTGGATGCTGCCATCATTTTCTCCGACATCCTTGTTGTACCCCAGGTACCCATTTAAACCTGATCCTGGAATGAGAAAAGTGGAAAAGGCTTTGGAAATACTATCAGTCTTGCTAAGGTTCAGGATCAGCACTTATTTTAACTGGATAGAAGGAAAAATAAAGGCTGAAAGACGGACTCTTATCCTTTCCCTTTCCTTCCAGCATGGGCTAAACTTTTCCTCCTGGAATTCCACTTTGGGAACTGAAATGTTTTATCCCTGTCTAGGCATTAGGCATGGAGGTAACCATGATACCTGGCAAAGGACCCAGCTTCCCAGAGCCATTAAGAGAAGAGCGGGATCTAGAGCGTCTGCGGGATCCAGCAGCAGTGGCCTCTGAGCTGGGCTATGTGTTCCAGGCCATCACTCTCACCCGGCAACGGCTGGCTGGGCGTGTGCCACTGATTGGCTTTGCTGGTGCCCCGGTAACATGAGACAGGGCAGGGACTGGGGATCAGGATCACTCTGGCAGTTCTGGTATAGAAAAAGGAAAAGAAATGTCTGTCTTCTACACTGTGATATCTTTGTATTCTTCTGTAGTGGACCCTGATGACATACATGATTGAGGGTGGCAGCTCAAGCACCATGGCTCAGGCCAAGCGGTGGCTCTACCAAAGACCTCAGGCCAGTCACCAGCTGCTTCGCATCCTCACAGATGCTCTGGTGCCATATTTAATAGGACAGGTGGTTGCTGGTGCCCAGGTAAGTCCTGTGGGAGAGGCAGATGGTGGGGTTTGGACTATTAAGGACCAGAAGCAATGGTCTCCTAAACTGGAAAGGATAGAGGACTTAGCTTGACCTCCAGAGATCTGACTGGAGTAGCCAAATCCACCAGAGGAGCTTAATGAATGTTCTGAACATGTGAAGACCAAAGCTTGCATTGGGGTCTGGAGAAGGTAACTCTGACTGGAACTGATATTAACAAGGCTCAAGCAGTACCAGAGCTTAAAGTTACTTGGGGAAATGAAGACACATTTCTGTACAAGGGGGCTGAGATTTTCTTTGTGTTGTTAATGTAATTTCTTTCACTATCTTTGACCTAGGCATTACAGCTTTTTGAGTCTCATGCAGGACATCTTGGCCCACAACTCTTCAACATGTTTGCATTACCCTACATCCGTGATGTGGCCAAGCGTGTAAAAGCTGGGCTGCAGGAGGCAGGCCTGGCACCAGTGCCCATGGTGAGGATTGAGATAGGTTGAGTGAAGATGATTCTGTAGAGCTTTAAGGGTTAAGTTCTGCATGGACTGAAGTGACCACTTGAGGGCAGCAGAAGCACAGCCAAGAAGGGAGGCATAGCTAGGCTCTATGTCACCTAAGAGATCTGCTCTGTCCTCCAGATCATCTTTGCTAAGGATGGGCATTTTGCTCTGGATTTGCTGGCTCAGTCTGGGTACGAGGTGGTTGGGCTTGACTGGACAGTGGCTCCAAAGAAGGCCCGGTGAGTGCTGGAGGGCTAGGTTTTTTTTTTTTTTTTTTTAAAGCGGGTGGGGTTGCCAAGTATGCAATCTCCACAATGTGGCACTGACTCTTGCTTCTAGGAAGCTTGTGGGGAAGATGGTGACCCTACAGGGCAACTTGGACCCCTGTGCACTGTATGCATCCGAGGTAACAACTGGGGTCTCATGTATGTACAAGTTGTCTCTGTGTGCTCTTATGGCTATGAATGTGGTTATATTGTTATGAGTCTCACTTCATTACGCCTATTTGTCCTTCTTCTACTCCATACACATAGCATAAACCCTAGGAAGGAATTTTTGTTGTTCATTTGTATTTATTTAGTGGTTATCCCATATGAGGTAGTTGATAAATTTTGTTGAGTTAATGATTAACACTGAGTAGAAGCATGCCTGCACGTGTGTGTCCCTATTATATGTCAGGAGGACAGAGGTTTGTTGACCTCGTCTATAGACAGTGCTCTGTTGGTCCTCAGGAGGAGATCGGGCGGTTGGTGCAGCAGATGTTGGATGACTTTGGGACACAACGCTACATTGCCAACCTAGGCCATGGGCTTTACCCTGACATGGACCCAGAACATGTAGGGGCCTTTGTGGATGCTGTGCATAGACATTCACGCCTACTTCGAAAGAACTAAGGGTACAACTTTTCCTTCAAGTACCACTAACACAGAAATGTTTCCAGAGAATAAAACTTCTCAAGTTAGAATCTAGTTTGTGGTTTTATTTGTTACAGATCTGTGCCCTCAGCCTCAGTGTGAAGTTCATGCTCCCTCCCTGTGGCCTCCTCTGCATCTCTCTCACCAGTGTCATAGGTATCAATGGACATGTGCCATAGCACCTGATTCAGGGCCCTTGCTACCTCCATGCTGTCAGAGAGCCCAGTCTCAGAGCTACCTGGGGTCAGGCAGGGCTTTCTAACTGTAGAAGCAGTTGACAGATGGTGAAAGGGGTGGGGTCCCTACAGGCTATAAAGGCCAAATTGATAGGGCTTTGTGTTTGGGGGAAAAGAGGAATATAGATTAAAGAGGGGTACAGAAGTGGCTAAAACATGTCCGAGTCCTAGAGGGCTTAGTGGGGAGAAGTTAGTTAAACAAGGAGAAGGTAAGGAAACAAAACTTAGACACCAAAAAAATGGGAAGGACATAGAGAATCAAAGCTAAGTTGTTTAGGATTGGAGACTTTGGTCCACACTATGGAGGCCTCTGAAGCCCAAGGGCCCTCTGGCACTAAGCGTTACTCTGCATTCTTTTCTGAGTACACGCTGCAGTTTTCTTACCATGTTGGGACTCTGTCCAGTTTACAGACTTCTATTTCCTAAAACAAGGCTGAAAGGTGCCTACAAGCTCCGAAGCAGCCTTGTATGGAAGGAGGTTCTGTCATTCTGCATCTCTCTAGAGGCCCAACCAGCTCCCTTTTTAAGTTAGAACAATACAAAAGGGAAAGAAAGGCCTCATTTATTGAGAACACAATTTCTACTTTTAGAAAAATGATCTTTTCTGTGATCCATGATTTATTCATAGAAAAGCACTATGAATTCACACACTCACTAAAAAAGGGCCATTGTGATACAGAAATGGGTGTGGCTTTTTTTTTTTTTTATCAGCCCATTGGGCTGAGACATCATAGGGGTCCTTGGCTGGAGAGCAAGACTTTAGTAGCCACAAATAGTAAATACAACTTACTGGTCAGTTTGGAGCAAAACAAAACAAAAAACCCCAACATAAACAGTTTGCTAAAGAAGAAAATAAAGTAGACAGAGAGGTCCTTAGTTCACACTCTAATAAGCTATACCACCCCTTTCCTATCAAACCCCACCCCACTCCAGAACTAAGACACAAAACAGTAAACACCAAGACAATGATATTCAATTGGCTCTTCTGAGTGTCCACTGCTACCTTCTATAACAATTCCAGGCTGAGCATAGGGGTCAGGAAGGTAGCAGGGACATGATGACACTGGAGGTCAGTTAGGGTTGAGGCGGGTTACCCACCAGGGCCAGAATCTTGGAAGGGAAAGGCCAAAGGCATACCAGCTTCAGCCTCCAAATCAGTACACAATGAACTGTGATAAAGCAGGTAGAGGAAGCTTGAGGTAGAAAGGCAGGGGAAGAAAGTGAGCATGGGTAAGAACCGTGAAGGTGAAGCATCTAATCTCATGGCAGAGACACTGGTGCTCAGAAGCTATCTAGAAAGAAGGGGGATAGAGAAAGAACAGAGATGGAACAAATGTCTGACTCGTGAGAGAGGATGAGAGAAATGAAATCTGGCAAAGAAGGCCATCTTCATGCAGCCATTCTTCCAACATGAGTATACAGATGTACCTACGTGTAGAAATAACTTGGGTACACACATAAAGATAGATCAATGGATAGCAGGCATACACACAAACACATATATTCATACACTTGTGTGTACCATGTAAACATGGGAAACAGCAAACACAGAAATCCACACTCCAACACATGACATAGGCATACATGTGTATATATATGTGCACAGACACATGTACTTACAGATATACACACACATGGAAGTAGAGATGAAAATATATACTCTGTAACATGACAGTGACTAGAGCAGATGGCTATTATGAACTGTTGCTTCCCTGACCTTCATCTTCTCCCTGTATTTGTTAATCAATATTGAGCAGGCTCCTGGGGGAGGCTATTGAGGCAGGAACAGGAGCAGGAGCTTCAGTGTTCTCACAGCTTTGTGAGGCAGAAGTCTAAGTCCAGTCTTGGCCTCTGCCCCTGACCAACCACTGGACTACAGATGCCCTGTGTACAGGCTGGGGTTTCTGCATAGACAAGACTTGGGGATTTATTGTAATTGGCCACTTCCCACTATCCCCACTTGTCCACTGCCAACATTATATACTCTGTAAGGGAAACCTGAGAAATGGTAGTGAGTCTCCTCAGAAAACAAGCCTGTCCTCCCACCCAACTATCTTAAGTGCCTATCAAATCAACCAGAATTATAAATAGTTACAACTTTACAATAATTGGCAACACATGTGCTATAGTATTTACAGTATCATAAATGCTTCTGTTTCTCTGGTTAAGCAATCCCTGAGATGAAACAGTGTTCTGTGTTTGCCAAGGAAGAGACGGCCAATGCCCAGGACACACAGGATATAGGGGTGTGAGGTGGCATGTTGTGGGGTTTCTTGTCAATCTGTAGGGCCCAGCTCCTCCAAGAACAGTGGGCTGTAGTGAGAAGCTTGCCAAGGTAGGTTGCAGGTGTATTAGCTAAAGTTAGACTCTCCCCATCCTTAGCCTGTGGTCCTTTGGCCTCAGCCACAGGTGGTCAGAGTCCTCTCAGGGTGGACAAATGTGTCAGTGTCCTTGGCCTGACTTGATGGTAGCTGGGAGCCCAGGCTGCCCTGGCAGTGAGCTCTCTGCTTTTTTCAGCCAAAGCGCTCTCGGACTAGCAGCATCAGTTTCTTCTTGCCTTTGTAAATCTGTTTGAGATTGTCAATGAACTGGGCAAATTGCAAGTGGCCATCTTGGGGCAGCAGGAAGGTCTCCCGAGCCTTGCTCAGAAACTCAATAAACTCTCCATAGTGGCGGGGGCTGATGTGTGTCAAACGTGAATGTGTAGTGTTGATGTAGGCATTGATGGTGGCATCCAGCAACTGGCGCAATGGAGCTTTGTCAGTCGACATGAGCTTTCCAGAGCTGCGGCGGCCTGGGATGCCAGCTAGGCCAGGTGCAGTCACTGTGCAGCGCCGCAGGATGTCTGAAAGCACTGTGGCACAGTGTACACTCTTCACCACCAGAGGGATGAGAGCTGCCAGCTCATTTTTGCCCAGAGAGTGGCTGAGGGCACAAGCCCAGAGCACATCATTGATGGCTGGATGGGTATCCTGGTTGTAGGCTAGGTTCAGATGGCTCATGGCCAATGAGGCCAGCTTGAAGGCACGTAGCGGGTAGCCACGGAGCTCCATGTAGCGGGCAATGGTGAACAGCTGTGAATGGGTCATGCCACCAGCAGCAGCATCGATGGCAATCTGGTAGGCTGCCTCAAAGGCGATGTGGTCTTTCTCACAGAGTGTAAGAGCTGACAGAGCACAACTTTGCGGATCCTTCATAGCACACTGCAGGGCCAGTGTGCGAGCACAGCTGGCCAGTTCTTCCCGCTGTGGGTAGTCAAGACTGAGACGTAGGATAGTGGTGTGGGATACAGCAGTGGCAGCTACAATACTAGTAGCCTCAGTAGGAGTGAACAGTGTGTACCAGCTCTGCAAGATGCTCACGAGGGCCCGTACACCTGTTAGGGAGAGCTTGAGCTCAGAAGTGGCCATCAAGGTCCCAATCCAGCTCTGCCCAGATTACCATTTGGGGTCTGAACTTGGCCTGCAGAGATGAGTTCTCCCTCCTCTGTAGCCTTGACGTGATCTGAGGCAAATCAAGGCAAGGGGAGCATCCCAGATGGCCAGACCCTGTTTGTGGTCTTGCCCATGTCTACCTTCCCCAGGTCGGAGGTTTGAAGGTCTCTGCAGTGTTCTTTGCTCCTCATAAGGATGAAGCAACAGAGAATGCAGTTTGTCTGACTCAAAGCACGGGTTGCAGGTCAACTTAGGGGTTCTAGCTGAAGTGGGGCCTCTGAGTCTTGAGCTAGGGCTTTGGACTCCATAAGGGGTCCTGAGCCTCCAGGTTGTCTGGGATTTCTCAACAACATGGACAGGGACTGGGATCAAACAGATGGGCTCACTGCCTCTCAAGGGAGCATGTGAATATTGGGAGATGAAATTCATTATCTCAGATGTGTCTCTGATCAGAGTGCTGCTGATGTGACATGGTCCTAGCAGTAAGAGCAGAGGCCATCTGGCTGAACAGAGGCCATCTTTTCTTAACAGTAGCACCATCCTTTTTCTAGGCCATCAGGAATGGAATACAACTGATCTAAAGATTCATTACACTGACCAAGAGTTGGGCCTAGAAACTACTGGGGTGGGGTGGGGAGACTCACCCACTTCGGTAGCACAGGTCACCAGCCATCGCACCATCTCTCGGCGCCGCCAGTTCAGAGTTGATAAGGTCATCCGCATCACCTGGGCATGAAAGTCACACTAAGTGGACTGACCCTAGCTGTTAGGACCTCCTCTTCCCCACTTTATCTTGCCACTTATTTAATTTTTTAAAATTTTTATTCATTTTAATGAGGAAAAAAGTGATGAAACAGTTTCAATACAGGTTAGGACGTTTACAATAAGACATTGTATATTGTTGAATTGATAGTAATTGATAGTAATTCAGAGGACAAGATGCAGACATGATATCTTGTCTAAATAATATTAGTACAAACTTTTATTCTCAATTTATTTAAATATTTGTTGGTGCTTTAAACAACAATCTTTCCCCTGATAAGTATGATCAGGGTTAAAATTTTCCTTACCCATTTCATTCATTAGATAAGAGTCTTCTCTGAAAAACCTATTAACATTTTAATTAATTAATTAATTCATTATTTGAGACAGGATCTTTCTATGTAGCTTGGGCTGAACTCGAACTCATGTCAATCCTCTTGCCTTGTATTCCTAAGTGCTGAGATTATAGGCATATGGTGCCATGCCTGGTTCTAAATAAAATTCTTACACCTTTTTTGACTTGAATAAGATGGAGAGAAGATGAAGACTCCATGGGTCTTAAAGCTATTTTGCTTGTTTTTAAAGATGAAACCCAACTTAGAGTGCTTATCTTTTGCCTAGCATAGAACTCATGTTCTGGGGACACAGAGTCAGACCTGGTCTGTGTTCAGTCCCCTAGAGATCTTACCTTTTGCCAGTTGTCATTAGAAACTTAAAGTGGGAACAGCGCTGCCCTACCCCATACCTGTAACCCCAGCTCAAGGGCCACATTGAGCAGGGTGTTATCTGTACTACTGTCCGTAGGAGTAGCAATCTTGAATGCATCTTGGGCCAGTTTGAAGATGAGGGAGGAAGAATGGATGTGCTTCTGTATTGCTTCCAGAATAGTCCGGAGTCTACGAGTATCCCCTATAGGTGTGGAAAGAAGGGGTGGGGTAGGATTAACTTAAACATTTTCCTAGACTGTCAGCTGATCACAATAAATATGGTTGAACTGATGGTTATAATTCATTCAATGCTTCTGGGTGATCAAGTTGTCTCCACTAACTCTGGTGGCCCCTTCTGTCCTGAGCTACCCACATGAATTCTCTTGGAACATTTTCATCTTTCTCAACTTTTCATCTACTGTACTCTTAGGCTTTCTAAGTATTAGAAAAATGTTCCCTTTTTTTTGAGAGACAGATTCTCACTATGTAGTTCAGACTGGTCTTGAACTCACTGTGTAGCCCAACTTGCCTGGAACTTGCAGTGATTCTCCTGCCTCAACCTCCCAAGCACTGAGATTACAGGCATGTACCATCATGCCCAAGTTGGAACTTTCTTGAACACCTGGATTTTGGAAACTACTGTAAAGGAGACAAGTAATATTATTGCCAAAACATATGCCGGTTCTATTGTTTGCTTCTCAGGACAACTCCCTAGAGCTAAAAGGACTTAAGCCATTGCTTTCTATTCAATAGACCAGGATTCTATAAAAGATAATGATACGTAGAGCTAAGAAATACACCACCTATGAAGGTTATTATGTGAAGTTAGTATAGTGTATAAAATATTGGGGTTTTTTTTTGTTGTTTTGTTTTGTTTTTCTGTTTTTGAGACAGGGTCTTGCTCTGTATTTCAGGCTAGTCTTAAACTCATTGTGAAGCTCAGGTTACTCTCAAATTAGTGGCAATTCTTCTGCCTCAGCCTCCTGTGTGCTGAGATTTGTTATAAGCATGTACCACTATACCCGGCTAAAAGATTAGTTTTAAGAAGGATAAATATATGAAATAGAACAAAATGTAGGTCCTATTTTATTTATTTATTTTGTAGTTGTTGATAAAATAAAAAGATGTAGTGGTGAGAGTATAGGCTTCAAAGTAAAATACATTGGGGGATAGAATCAGGTTCATTCATACACAATTCAGTTTTTCTGTCTATAAAGTGGAAACCATAACATTTAGGGTTCTAGTGTTAGAAAATGAGATAAACAGCAGTGTTATAATATATGTGTAAGTATAAATAGAAAATCTCCAGGAATGTTTATACCAATGTCTTATAATACTTGTCTTTGGGTGAAAGAATTTTTTTAAGTTTTTTTTTTTTTAACTGGGAATTGAACTCAGAATCTTGTGCTTACCAGGCAGGCGCTTGTGCCACTAAGCTATATCCCCAGGCCCTGAGTATTATGGAAGAGATGTCTTTTATTTTTTATCATCATCTTTTTTTTGAATGTATTTTGTACAGGTTCTCACTATGCAGCTTGGACTTATAGTAAGCCTCCTGTTTTCGGCCTCCCCAGTGCTGGGATTGTAGATGTGTGCCACCATGCCCAGTCTTGGTGGCCAGCTCAGTGTACCCAGGGCCAGTGCAGCATGTGGTGCTGGGAATTGAACCCTGGTCCCTGTGGTTGCTTAAGCAGGTGCTTAGTCTGCTGAGCTATCTTGCTGACCCATTTTTTAAAAAATCATATTTAAAATTTGTTTTTAATTAATAGACTTCATGTTTTCAGGACAGGTTTATGTTTACAGAAAAGAAAGCTGGTAGTAGAGATCAATATGTCCCCTATTACTAAGGTGTTACATTTGTGTAGTGTATTTGATGAGCCAATATTGATACATTATGAGCTGTAGTCCATGCTTTGCTGAGGGTCTCTCTTTGTGTTATGTGGTTCTATGGGTTTTGACAAATGGATGTTATAGATCCACCATTATATCACACAGAATAGTTTCACTGTCACAAAATAAAATCCTTTGCTTCATGTCTTTCAAACCTCTCCCATTCCCCTTGAACCTCTGGCAACTAAAATGTCTCCATAGATTTGCCTTTTCCAGTATCATACAGTTGCAATCACACAGCACATACCTTCCAGATCGGCTTCTTTCAATACACAGTGCATATTACATTTCCTCTTATCTTTTTTGTGGCTCAATAGCTTATTTTTTTTGCTATTGCTCAATAATATTTCAAGTTGTATGGATATATCACCATTTACTTGGTCACCTTTTATTTTACTTTTTTTTTTCTTTTCTTTTTTGGGGGAGGGGTGCTGGGGATTGAACTCATGCATGATAGTAAAGTGTTCTACCACTGAGCCACCTTACTAGTTTTCTGTTCATTTTTTGAGGGACATCTTGGTTGCTTCCATTTTGAAGCACTTAAGAATAAAAATAAAATAGATACTCAAGCACAGGTTTTGGTATGGACCTAAGTTTTGAGTCAGTTTGGTAAATATCTAGGAGCATGATTCCTGGATTATATTTGGTATGATCTTACCAGGAATCATGCTCCTAGGTATTTACCAAACTGACTCTAAACCACCACCATCATGACCACCCCTCAAAAAAAACCCCCCAAAACAAAACAAAACAAAAAAACCCTGCCCAAGTGTCTTCCAAAGTGGCTGTACTATTTTACATTACCATCAGTAATGTGTAGATACTGTTGCTCCACATCACTGCCAGCATTTAGTGTTGTGTTTTAGATTGTAGCCTTACTAATAGTGTCTGGCATCTTGTTGTTTTAATTTGCAATTCATTTCATATATTTATTTGCTATCTGTATATCTTCTATGGTGAAGTGTCTTTTCAGATCTTCTACAAATTTTATTGATTGACTGACAGTTGTATTAGGAGTTGCACTGAACTACAACCCCATTTTTTGAGGCAGAGTCCCTCTAAATTGATAAGTTGCCCAGTCTAGGATCAAACTTTGATCTTCCCGCCTCAGCCTCCCAGAATATGGGCTTTTGCCAATTTTTTTTTTTTTTTTTTTTCGGAACTGGGGATTGAACTCAGACCTTTGTGCTTGCCAGGGAAGTGCTTATTCTACTGAGCCATCTCCCCAGCCCACTGCCAATTTTTTTTTAAATTGGATGGTTTGTTTTCTTATTGTTGAGTTCTGTGTGAATTTGGGGTTACAAATCCTTCATTAGGTATAGTTTTCAGATATTTTGTCCTAGTTTGTGATTTACCTTTGCATTTTTCTGCACTAAAATAATTTAATTTGCTTGAAAGCTCACATTGCAACCATTAAACCAGTCTAGGCTTTGATTCTGTGAGTCTGTATCATGTATCATGAAGAAACAAACTATGACCCATGTATATGGATGAAAACTAAATGCCCTGAGTTATACTGCAGTTTTAAAATCTCTACAGCCTAGAACTCAGCAGTCACAAGGCTTTTAGGTCTCTCTGATGTCCCAAGATTATTTGTATTTTTTAAAACAATCATCCTTATCCTTCAGTTTCTAGTTGATAATGCTAGTTAATCCTTGAGTGTTGAGGATGCAAGAGACTCAGGAAGACTTCAATAGCATACATCCCCTTCATCAATGTTGGCAGTAGATGAATTCTGAATTTCAGATTGGCTTCAAAGAGGTCAGCCACATTTAATCTACTATCCCAGCTGATACATCCTTTTAGCTGATAACTTCACAGGTACTTCCAATTGGCCACCATCTTTCCAATTTTTCTTATCACTGTTGGTTGCCATTTATAGACTCAGTTCCTGGAGGGAAAGCACCTGCCACATTCACTCTACTCCATACAGTCACACAAGTTGCCATGTTCTCCCAAAATCCATCCATGGTAGGTGTTGGGATGACTGCCAAAGTTTTCAGCCATAAGAAAAATCTAGAAGAATCCAGATTACATGCATTTTTTATCATCTAGGGTTGAGCATCATACTTAGTTTTTAGAAAACATTTATAAGCATGTATATTGGCCTAAAAACCACAATTATGATGCAATTAGGTCAGTACTTCATGAGAAAGAGAGATAATGAGTTTGAAAACATTAATATTTCTTTACACCAGATTGAGATGATTCTCTCCCTCTTGCTGATTTAATTGTGTAGTTATTATCACAAACTTAGAATTCATGGTTACAAAATAGTCCCTACCTGTGACAATTTAAGGTGTCTAAAGAAATAATCTTTTATGCTATAGATCCATTTCTTTTTAAAGCTCATCTTCTAAACCACCCATAAGGGCAAGTTTACTAGCCAGAGACTTTCCCAGAAAGTCATTAACACATGCACTACTAACTTATCCATAGTACTGCAGTGATCTTACTGTTTTCGACAGCTGTCTCTTCTGCAGCTTGCTCAAAGATTATTTAATGGTTGCCATTTCAACCAGGTAAGGGAAAACTTGAGATCACTTGAATAGTTGTGTGAAGAAGACAGCACATGTTGTGATTGGTTACTTTTCTCTTGTTGCTGAGACAAAATACCCAACATCCAGAGTTAAAGGAGGAAAGGTTTACTTAGTTCACAGTTTATAGAGGTTTCAGTCTGTAATTAGCTGGCTCCAAGGGCAGGGCAAGATGGCACATGGCAGGAGAGTAACAGTTCATGGCAGTAGAAGACAGAAAAGCAATGGGTGGGTACTCAAGCTTCTTTCTGTCCCTTATACTGTATATAGGCTACCCTAGGATGAATGTAGCACTCACCCTTAATTCTAGCATTGGACTATGAATCAACCAACAAGCTCTAGATTCACCCACCTCTGAAAAATCCTATCTCCCATGACTACAGGAGGCTTTTGGGGGGCATCTAGACATAAATCATAACATTCTTCCCCTGGTCCCCCAAAGACTCAGGTACATTCCTTTATGCAAAAGGCATTTATTCCAGCTCTAAGAATTTCCAAAGTCCTAACAGTTGCAACACTGCTGAAAAGTCCAAGTCCCAAGTTTGCACTGAGATTTTTTTTTTTTTTTCAGAACCAGGGATTGAACTCAGGCCCTTGCACTTGCCAGGGAAGCACTTATTCTACCGAGCCATCTCCCCAGCCCTCTGCTCTGAAATTTAAGGTAAACTCTTAGCTGGGATCCTCTGTACAAATGAAAAGAAAGTTAAACATTTCCAACATTCAATGGCACAAGATAAACATTTTCATTCCAAAAGTTGTAAGCTGGAGAATATAA